TAATGTTTAACCCCTTAAGACCGGAGGGCGTACTATTACGTCCTCTAATAGGCGGCTCTAAACGCCGCCGGGCGTAATAGTACGCCCTCCGGTCTTTCTGTACTTACCCGGTCGCCGGCGGTCCCACGCCGGCGATCGCGGTGGGGGGGACTCCCAGGGAGCCCCCCGCGGCACGACCGTCCTCCAGGAAGCCCCCCGGCCGTGTGAGAGTGGGGTCCTAGCGAGGACCCCACAATCACATGGCCGGGTATAGCTGGCTTCTGTATTGCCAGCAGGGGGGCTGCCTGTAATTACAGGGGGTCCCCCTGCTGGCTGAAAATAAAAGTAAAATAAGTTAAAAGTGTAAAAAAATAAAATTATATATACTTAGATCATATATATATATTATATATATATGATCAAAGTATATATATACACATATACATACACACATGTACACCGTCTAGGTGTATTTTACTATTAATATATATATAATTATATATATATATTAATATCAAATTACACGTACACTGATACTGATTAAATATATATATAATTATTGTTATATATATATTTATATATATTATAAAAAAAATTAAAATGTAAATACGCTAAAAAATAAAATTACAAAAATAATTAAAAATAAATAATTAAAAAATATATAGATGTGTGTTATTTCGTTCTAACTGTATTGTGAAATTATATATATATATATATCAAAATACACATAGAACGAAATAATATATATATTTATACACATAAATATATACGTATATATCACTATATATATACCTATATATAAATAAAAATATTTAAAAAAATTATATAGATATATACATATATATACACATACGTATATATATACATATATTGATTCTACATATATATTTATGTAATATTTTTACATAATTAGGTATCTTAATTAATTACAATTAGCAGGACCTGCATGACAACCCATGCCGAAAGTAAAGGGAATTTAATTTGCTAGCACTATATTTAACCCTATAACTTTCCGAGACACCATAAAACCTGTACATGGGGGGTACTGTTCTACTCGGGAGACTTCGCTGAACACAAATATTAGTGTTTCAAAACAGTAAAATGTATTACAACGATGATATCGCCAGTAAAAGTGACGTTTTTTGCATTTTTCACGCACAAACAGCATTAAACGGACAATATTATTGCTATGATACTTTTTACTGTTTTGAAACACAAATATTTGTATTCAGTGAAGTCTCCCGAGTACAACAGTACCCCTCATGTACAGGTTTTATAGTGTTTTCAAAAGTTACAGCGTCAAATATAAGGCTTGCGTTTCATTTTTTTCACAATAAAATTCGCCAGATTGGTTACGTTGCCTTTGAGACCCTATGGTAGCCCAAGAATGAAAATTACCCCTATGATGACATACCATTTGCAATAGTAGACAACCCAAGGTATTGCAAACAGGGTATGTCCAGTCTTTTTTAGTAGCCACTTAGTCACAAACACTGGCTAAAATTGGCGTTTTTTGCATTTTTCACACACAAACAAATACTAACGCTAACTTTGGCCAGTGTTTGTGACCAAATGGCTACTAAAAAAGACTGGACATACCCCATTTGCAATACCTTGGGTTGTCTACTATTGCAAATGGTATGCCATTATGGGTGTAAATTTCATTCCCGGGCTACTATACAGTCTCAAAGGCAACGTAACCAATCTGGCGAATTTCAATTTCAAATGTAACGTGCTATATTTGACCCTGTAACTTCCCAAAACGCCATAAAACCTGTACATAGGGGGTACTGTTTACACGTGAGACTTTGCTGAATACAAATATGTGTATTTTATTGCAGTAAAAGCAAACAGTATTATGACATTGACCATTAAAATGTCATGTAGAACTAAAAAATTTTTAAAAAATCATATTTTCTCCCATTTTTTTCATATTAAATTATGTTTCATAGCTAAATATTTGATATTAAATGAAAGCCCTGTTTCCCCTGAATAAAATGATATATAATAAGGGTGGGTGCATTTACTATGAAAGAGGTGTATTACGGTTGGACAGACATGTAGCGGAAATGCCAGGTTTTGTTTACATTTTGTTTTGTTCACAACGTGTACATTTGGCTCCGTCCTTAAGGGGTTAACAAGCTCCCGGGTGGTCTTTAGTTCGGGAGTTGATTCAGTTCCCGAACCTAAATGTAAATCCCACAAACCTTTTCACATGGTTTTTACAGGGCCCATAGTCTTTAGGCAGGAGGCTGGCAAGCAGGCTCCTCCTGGAGCCCGTGGCGAGTTTACATTCGCCACAATAGATATTCCATTTAACCTCAGTGTTCTTTTCACTAAAGAGTTTATGCCAGTCAATATATTGTAAAGTTGCCCTTTTTAAACTTATATGTTTTAGTATACCCTATTTGCTTTTGTTTTTATATATTTCAAAGGACACTATATTGTGATCACTATTTCCTAAGTGCTCACCTACTTAAATGTTGGTCAAAAGATCAACGTTGTTTGTTAGAACCAGGTCCAGACAAGTGTCCTTTCTAGTAGGTGACATGAAGATGTCCTTTAACAAGTACAAAAAACTAATTTCCTTTGCTGAACTACTAGTCCCTCTGTCCCAATTTATTACCAGGTATTTAAAATCTCCAATAATGAATGTGTTACCCAGATTTGCAGCTTTCTTAATTTGCTCAAACAGCTGTTGTTCCTCACATTAGGTGTTTTATAACATATCCCAACCAATAATTGATTTGCATCCTTTTGCCCCAAGCAGATATTTACCCATAAAGCTTCCACATTTTCCTCATTACATTCCACTTGCTTGAGATTTGGCTTTAACTCATGGTTGACATACAAATATACCTCACCACCTTTCCTGTTTTTTCTATTCTTCCTAAATAGTGTGTACCCATTTAAGTTAATTGCCCAGTCATGTGTCTCATTCCACCATGTTTTAGTTATGCCTATTATGTCATATTGGTTAGTGTTTGCTATTGCCTCTAGTTCCACCATTTTGTTATTTAGGCTCCTTGCATTAGTAAGCATACATTTATTACTATCATGAGTCACTTACACTTTTTATGAATTTTTATCCATTGCCCCTCGCCCCATCTCCACCCCCCTTATACTGAGCTAAAGCCCATCTACTTTCTGTCCTATCTCCATTTTGTAGATTACTATGACCCTCCCCCTTCTACTAGTTTAAAATCTCCTCCAACCTTTTTGCCATCTAGGTTGAGACAGAGTGATTGTGAAAGAGTTGGAGATGAGTATGGCAGGTGTGACAGGATTAAGAGGGGGTTAATATAACAGGGTGAGTGTGGCATTATTGGGGTGTGACAATATAGGATAGGTTAGTTTGATAGGATGAGTGACAGAATAATGGAGGATAAGTGGAACAGGGTTGGGGGGTTATTGTGATAGGATGAGTGTGGCAGAGTGAAGGGAGGTGAGTGTACCATGGGTGAGTGTGACAGGATCAGGAGGGTTTAGAGTTGGATTATTGTGAGTGTGACAGGGTGAAGGGGAAGTGACAATGTGTGGGGATGCTGTGTTCAGTGAACAGCCTCTTTAACTTTATTATGCAGCAATAAATTCCCTGGTGTACCAGCGGTCTCCATTCTGGTGGTCCAGAGGCCTTGCAATCTGCACCACCATATCTAATCTTGCTATCCAGTATTCAGCTCTGTCTGGTGCAGAGATGCAGACCATGTGATTGTTGTCTTGGAAGCTCTGGCACTTGAAGTGTCATAGCATTACCTGGGTAACCCGCTCATTGACAATTACTCCATTGTCTTCAATTTTGCACCCGGCTGAGCTATATACCTGAGGTTGTGAGTGGAGCAGAGTGAGTGGAGGGGCCCTGCATCCGGGAGCAAACAGGGCAAGCTGCTGGGCCCTCTCTCTGTCGGGACAAATCAGTCTGCCCTACGGTGAGTTAGGCGGTTGCGAGGCTTTAGTCACAGTAACCCCCTTGGTCATGCCACACTCACCCTGTCACATTAACAGCCCTAATTCTGTTACACTCCCTCCTCTAAACATGCCACAATAACCCTGTCACATGAACCCTCCTAATAATGCTACATTCACCCCTAGAGTTGAGGGGACACCTGGATGTTCGGGTTCGGCTGAACTTTGAAAAAAAGTCTGGGTTCGTGATCAAACTTGACCCCGAACCCGAACCCCATTGAAGTCAATGGGGACCCGAACTTTTGGTCACACAAATGCCCCTAAAAAAGTACTGGAAAGGGCTAGAGGGCTGCAAAAGGAAGTACAATGGGGGTAAGAGTAGGACAAGTGCCCTGCACACAAATGTGGATAGGGAAATCACTTAAAATAACATAAAAATTAAAAATACAGCTGAGCCATAAAATAGCACTAGATGGAATCTTCGATTTTAGCTTTGGAAGAACATAGATCAAAATCTAAAGCCTGGCTGTCAGCAGGATCACCAGAATTATCCATTTGAGGGTTGGAGTGCAGGGTATTCTCTTTCATTGTTTAACCCCTTAAGGACCAAACTTTTGGAATAAAAGGGAATCATGTGTCCTTAAGGGGTTAAACTGAGCTCAACTCCTGATGCATAATTTATACTAAGTGACCCATAGGTTGTGGAGGCGGTGACTGTGGCAGTGTAGGTGGAAGCAGCAGTGGAGAGGAGGAGGTAACCAGCATTGTTATATATATATATTTTTTATTTTAATTGGGGAAGCCCCCAAAATATTGGGACATATAAAAAAAGAAACATTTGCGGCCTTCGGTGCATTTCTTGCAGTCCTGATGCATGGAGAAATGGCCTTCACAATCCTCTGCTATTGTGTACATAGTTTATACTAAGTGATCCATAGGTTGAGGAGGCGGTGACAGTGGCGGTGTAGGCGGAAGCGGCAGTGGGGAAGGAGGAGATAGCCAACACTGTTTTTTAAATATATATATATATATATATATATATATATATAAATAAAATTTATTTTAATTAGGGTAGCCCCCAAAATATTGGGACATATAAAAAAGAAACATTTGTGGCCTGCTCCCTCTTATGCTGTGCTGGTGCCTCTGTGCGACCAGCGCCTCTTCCTCCAAACTGCACACGTCACTCGCATGACCTTGATTCCATGTCGGGTCTAGGACCTCATCATCCTCCACGTCATCTTACACTCACTCCTCAACCCTGCCCTCCTTGCTGGTCTGCACTGCAGAAAGCCACAGCAGCTGGCACCTGTGTTTTTCCAGCATGTAAAGTCTGCAAAGTACATATGGAAATTGTTTTAGAATTGTATCCAGGTAACAGTTTCCCATAAACTGACCTCTCAGTTTGACTTGTGAGGGTATTGCCCAGAATTACAATATTGTTGAAGTACCTCTTAGCTATTGATAACTGGTTTAAATATAGCAGCTTGTTATCTGGTAGTTTCTAGTGTATAAAATATCAATCTGTTTTCTATCACTTAGATCTGTTTAACAAGTGTTGTAGGTGTGAAACCATATCACAAGTGACCGATGTACGAAATTCGAATCAAAGTTCCATTTGCAAAAAAAAATTCTCGCCCATCTTATGTGGGTTATTGCATTTTTAAGATGTAGACTTATTGTATCACACTAGACATGCACAGGTAGCTTGTCTGGCACGTTGTTTTGGTGTTTGGTTTTTAACTTTGTAGTTGTGTCTTTACACAATATAGAAATGTATATTAATGCTTCTGTATATGAAGCGATCACAATAACACTTATTTTTCACTTTGTAAAAAAAATCAGGATAAACAAAATTTGGTAATTAACAATATGACATCTGAAAAGCACATGAAAGGATGCTGTATGATTTAAAAAAAATAAAAAAAAATAACACACTACATGAAGGTTCTGTTCACTAGAGTGTGTAGTCATGAATGTAACCAGTAAAACTTTGTTTTTACTGCCACTGGTTGGACCATACTTATTTTAAAACTTGTTTAATTTTGTTATAGCATGACTTGTCTTGTTTTTAACTTGTCTATAATACATATTTTTGTATGGAACAGTGTGTTTTTTCATTGATTATTGAATTTTAATGGTCTTAGATAATTAACATGTCAACAGGCAAACGTAGCCCAAATGATTTGTCTCAGTCTTGCCTTCTATACTACCTGCACCATAGGCAACATTTATTTGTCTTTAGACTTTCTTGAGAAGCAGTAACTAGCCAGTGTTGCACACAATGAAGTGCACACCCCAAATGTACTATTTACCACCAAAAAAATTTGAATAAAACTACGATGTAACCACAGTATATGACGCTCAGATATGAAGAGCAGGCCCCAAAATGTACTATTTAGCAGATTAGCAGCAAAACAATTAGAATGTTTACAACTGTGCTATAAGCACACTATTAGACGCTTCTATTTGACTCTCAGATATGAAGAGCACGCACAAAATGTACTATTTAGCAGATTTGCACCCAGAAAATAAGAATGTTTACAATAGCGCTGTGAGCGCACTATTTGATGCTTCTATTTAACTCTCAAAAATGAAGTGCACCCCACTAATGTACTGTTTAGCACCCAAAAAATTGACTTTTTAAAACTCTGATGTAACCGCGGTATTTGACGCTTCTATTTGACTCTCAGATATGAAGTGCACCCCACTAATGTACTAGCTTGCAGAATTCTTTCCTAAGCTGTCCCTCACAGCAGCAGCATCTTCTCCCTACACTAATAAGACCTCATGTGCGTGCGGCGCTACATGACTCCATCTTATATATAGAGGCTGGGTCACATGCTGCACTGGTCAATCACAGCCATGCCATTAGTAGGCATGGGTGTGATGGCTTCTAAGGGAATACAAGTCAAACGCTTGTTAATTGGCTGCCATTAAATCGCCGAACACCGAACTCCAACCCTAACATACAGTGATATGTCGTTTGGGTCCGGGATCCAAAAAACGTAATGTTCGGTACGAACCCAAACTTTACAGTCCGTGTCCGCTCAACTCTATTCACCCCTGTAACGGAACCGCTGGCACCCCGACCAGGTACCTTCCGCTGACGGATACTCCTAGTGCTTTCCGAGGACTCCAAGCACTCTGCCAGCAGTTCCATTACAACCCCTAATCCTGCCACACTCAACTTCCATCACACTGAAACACTCACCCGCCAACCCGGTCTCTTTAACCCTGTTACACTTACCCTCCCACAGTTACCCCATTTCTCACCCTGTAACACTCCCTGAAGACGCCTGTGTTGTTTTACATACAATACATTTTCTGCATTAAAGAAACCATTAACATTAGATAGAGAAGAGAATTTAGTTGTCTTATTTCTTGCAAAATGTTTAGTGAGAAGGGATTTAAAATTCGGAGCACCTCTAACTATCATAGTTGGTTGTCAGGGATCATCTTATTAAGGACATTATCTTGCTGTAAGACATCTCAATATCTTTTAACATCTCTTCCTTTGTTGTTAAAATCCAATAAAATTGAAATGGAAGGAGCAGCTTTTTTTAAATCTATATATGTTAAAAGGCTGCATCTTTCATTAGTTTTAACTCTACCAATAATAGTGCCTAATTCATACTCTGAATAATTATTTTTCTAAAAACCTTTTTTTTTTTTTTTTTTTTTACAAAGTGAGTAACGGGGTAACTATGGGAAGGTAAGTGTGAAAGGGTGATGGGGTGAAAGAGATAGGGTTGGAGATATAAATGTGATAGAGTGAGGAAGGTTGGCTGTGTCAGGATTAGAAGTGATTGTGACATTATTACAGAGCTTAAACTTACTGGATGATTGTGATAGGTTGGGTGTGAGTGTGAGAGTTGTGGATGAGTGTGACAGAGCGAGATGAGGTAAATGTGAAAGGATTGGGGTGGTAATGTAAATGAGTGAGTGTGACAGTATTGGAGGGATTAATGTGATAGTGTGAATGTGGCAAGAGGATAGGTGCTGAGTGACAGCGTTATAGAGGATGAGTGTGAAAGGGTTGGGGGGGTTAATGTGATAGGATGAGTGTGGCAGGAGTAGGAGGGGTTAAGAGTTGGAGGGTTGTGAGTGTGGCCGGGTGAAAGTGAAGTGACAGTGTGTGGGGATGCAGTGTTTCAGCTTCCTCACACTGTAAAACCTTTTTTATGCAGCAATCGATTCCTTGGTCTTCCAGTGATCTCCCTCCTGGTGGTCCAGTCACCAGGCTATCTGATCTTGCTTGCCTGGTGCAGAGTTTCAGACCATGAGAGTGTTGTCTTATGAGCTCCAGCATTTAAAGTGTCAGAGCATTGCTGGGGTAAGGCGCTCATTGACAATTACTCTATGGTCTGCAACTCTGCACCCAGTGGAGCTGTAGACCAGAGGCTGTGTACGCCCTACACCCAGCCACACACAGGGCAAGCCGCTGGGCCCTCTGTGTTGGGCCCTTGGTCACGGACAAATCAGTGTGCCCTAAGGTGAGTTAGGTGGCTGTGAGGCCCTAGTGAGTGTGAGGCCTTACTAACCCTCAATCTTGTTATACTCACACCCCTTCAACCATGCCACATTAACACCCCTAATCCGGTCACACTCCCTCCCCTAACCATGCCACACTAACCCTGTCACTTTAACCCCCCTAACCATGTTACAGTCACAATTAAGCCTGCCACATTCAACTTTCATCACTCTGTAACACTCACCCCCCCCAATCCTGTCTCTCTCACCCCCTTTCATCCGGTCACACTTACCCTCCCACAGTTACTCCATTACATACCCTGTAACACCCCCTGAAAACAGTCATCATACACACAGTCATGAAACACAGCTTATACATAAACATAATGCACAAAGACCTCCCATGCACACAACACACCACAAGCAGCTCCCCCACACACACATGGACTCAGACACAAACATACACATGCTCACACACAATGATACTTACTGTCAGTGATACACTCACAGGCACACACATGGGTAGACAATGCCAGGCACACTCAGAAATTCACGCAACCAGATATATCTGTATGTCTCTGTGCATCAGTGTGTTAGTTGTGTTAGTATGCATATATCAGAGTGTGTATGTGTGTGCACGTTGATGGCTGCAATTCGAGTCTTGTATTGTATGCACAATGCAAAGGTAAAGTTGCAACATATAATATATATATATATCAGACATACATATGCAATACATGCAGCAACATAAGAAAATAAATATAATAAATTGGAAGGATTGTAGAATATGTGGAGAAAATGTCTAAGTCTTTTTTCATATCTGTACCTTATTCTTTCGTAAATTATTTATTAAAAGTTTTTTTTGGCACAACTCAAATTTCATTTTTATTTCCAATTATTCCTCCACACTGTTAACTAGCATACATGACTGCCAGATAATTTAACCATACTCTTTAATCCTGTATACAGGATAAGCATAATTGCTAATTAATTTGGTTTTCAAATGATGCCATAATTGCAGTCAGAGAGCTCACAACACAATGGAACAGGGAGCTGCTAAGCTGCAAGCCTCTGAACGTTGAATACAGAGACGAACTATCTGTATCCAGTGCTGCAAGCCTATCCTTCAAAAGAATTACAGCTCCTTATACACACACTATTTTTTTCCACTATGGGTGTTAGTGGGGGCCTCATATTTGAGTTTCACCTAAGGCCTCACAAAATCTAGAGCCAGCACTGTAGGATATTTACACGTATTGAATGTAATTGCACAATGTGATCTGTGTACACTGCTCAGTGAGTAACATTACTGGTTAATGTGAACTACAGACAATTTCTGTGTCCATATATGCCTCTTACATAGCACAGTTCAATTAGTAACTTACTGTGATCCATGCTGAACCCATCCACTTCCTGTCGGCTCATGTGATCACATTGAGATCACATGACAAACAAAACCAGCTGACTCTGTGGGAAGGACATATTAATAGATTAGACCTGTGCTTTCAGGTCATGTAATCTCTAAATGGCCTGCTCTTTAGTATCACAATGATATAGTTATTTTGTCGAAGTGCGAATTGTCTGAATTTAAAGAGAATTTTGAATAGTAAAATAGTAGGCCAAAATAGCCGAATTGAATATGAAGCTGATTTGGAGGCTTTTTTTTTTCCCTAATCAACTTTGGACTAAAATTTGAAATTTCATTTGAATTCACACTTTCTTGAATAAATCTCACACTATTGAATTGAAAGTCATGGTAGCTGAAGAAAAATTAAAGGGTTACTATAGCTAATATTTTAAAGGACAACTCCATACTATTTTCTTAGTTAAAAAAAACAACAACAGATCACTGCTTAGTAAATTACTGCTCAGTAGATATACCCACAATGAATACATACATGCATTTTTAATGTATTTACTGGGTTTTAATGTATTTACTGGGTGTGTATATACAAAATAACTTGCAAATGCCTTCCCCTTTTACAGCTCCCTTGAAGGTTTTAAATGACTCTTCTCGTGGTTGATTAGCCACCCAAACCGAGAGAGAGTCTCGAGTACTAGATGTCTGTGTTGGAGTAACATCTCGAAGTCTGAGGCCACTACCAGAATGTCGTCGAGGTAGTGGTAAATGGCTACATCCATCTTCCTCAGGAAAGCAATTACCGTGACCAGTATCTTTGAGAAGGTTCTCGGGGCCGTACTTATCCCAAAGGGAAGAGCCTGAAACTGGAAGTGCTCCCCTTTTACACAGCATCGAAGAAACTTCTGATGTCTTTCTGTGACCGGAACATGGAAGTAGGCATCTTTTAGGTCTATTGAGATTAACCAGTCTCTGTGGTGAATCACTGGAATGATGGAACGGATGGATTCCATACGAAACTTTCTTATCCTTAAGAAGATGTTGAGCTGGTGTAGATCTAGAATAGGTCTCCACTTTCCTCCTGGTTTCTTTACTAAGAACAGGGGAGAATAGAACCCTTGGAACCTTTCTTTCACAGGAACCGGAACAATGACCCTTTCCAGAAAAAGATTGGCAACATAATGGGTCAAGACTTCTCTTTTTTTGTCTGTCGACAGGGAGTCTTGTTCTGATGAATCTTGGTGGAGGGGAAATATCTTCGAACTCCAGAGAATATCCTGCGGTGATTACGGAATTCACCCAAGCATCTGGAATCACACTCCAGGTCCTCCAGAAGAACGAAAGGCGTGCTCCTACATGGGGAACCTGGTATAAGCAACCTTCAGAACTGTCTGGTGGGGCGAAAGGAGGAATTTTGAGCCTTTGGTCTGGAAGATTTCCCGGTTTGACCACTCTTCCAATTGGAGAGCCGAGCATATTCTCTGCCTGGACGATAGGTTTTACTATCTCTATATCCTCCCTGTGGCCTGTAAGGACGATGGTCCTGTTGTGGTCTTTTTGGACGCCTGTCCTGTGGAAGCAAGATTTGCTTGACCTCAGCCGCTTTTTTAATCGCCTCCTCAAGTGGTCTGCCAAAAAGCACCTCTCCCAGAAATGGCAAGGTACATAAATTATTCTTGGAAGATAGGTCAGCTCCCCAGGATCTCAACCAAAGAGCCCTTCTGGCAGTAACCGAATGAGCCATAACCTTGGAAAAAATCCTGATAAGATCTGTGGAGGATTCCAACAGCCAATCACTGGCCAGTTTGATCTCCTTCAAGGAGTCCGTCATGCGACGTCTACTCACTCCTCTCTCAATATCCTCTTCCAAATCAAGAATCCATGAACGTAATGCTCTGGACAAATCAGAGATAGAGACTGCTGGATGACAACCCAAGCCTGCTGTAGTGAAGACCTTAGAAAGATCTGCGTCAATTCTCTTATCCATGGGTTCTTTGAGAGAAGCATTACTATCAATCGGAAGAGTTGATCTTTTTGCCACCTTAATAATTGGAGCATCCACTTTAGGGACCGCTGTCCACATTCTTGAATCCTCCTCCTTAATCGGGTACAATTTTGATAATCTACCCTGACTTGTAATCCTTTTACCAGGAACATTCCATTCTGAGCGAATCAGTTCTTTAATGGATCTGTGCACTGGAAAGGAAGGTTTCCTCTTATGGAGATCTCCGAAGTGTCTATCAGAAGTAGAAACTTCCCTGACTTCTTCTGGCAAATCTAGAGTCTTTCTCACTGCCTTGATTAGATGCTCCATCGCCTTTGTGTCCAATGAACACGGTTGTTCCGTGGACTCTTCCTCACTAGAAGAGATAAGCTCCAAATCCAAGGAACCAGCAGGATGTCTGAAGTCATCTTCAGATAGGTCGGATTCTTGGCCAAAGCTCTCACGCCTGGGTCTTTTGCCTCTATTGGATTCTGAAATCCCTTCCGCCACTGCTTGCTTAATCCAATAAGCTATATCCTGAGATGAGGACGTAGAGGCTTGAGGAGACCTGCGATGTTCCGACTCTCCTGCAATCATGGATAAACATTTGCGGCATAACCTGCAGTTATCCAAAGGCCTTGCGCCACATCCAGGGCAGGCCGCCGGTTTATCCCTCCTCTTAGATGGAGATCTAGGGCCAGACCGGTCTTGAGGGCTGTAAAACACAGAAGTCATATGACTGTACCCTCCATGCACTCTTTTTTAATGTAGTAAATAGAATATACTGTAATGCTCACCTATGACCTATAGTAGATCTTGTTGATTTAGCTGATGGAGATGCAGGATCCATTTTTAATTTAATTTTTATAGAAGGGCTGCATAAAAAAAAAAAAAGTGTCACCATGAACTTCATGCAGCAAAAACCTGAACATCCTCATATATTATAGAAGAATAACTTAAAACATACCTGCAGAGACAGAATATGGCACCAGAGAGCACTGAATAACAGAGGGAACTGAAAACGCCAGCTTTTTTGAAGAAATACCGCCATTTTCAAATTTCCCGCTCTGTGCCTTTAAGGAGGCGCGCATGCGCCGATTGGCGGCAAGTCCGCGGGTCCGCCATTTTGGATGAGGGCAAACATGCCGAAAATCCGGTCGTGGCCATTGCGCATGCGCGGGCGTCTTACCGGATAGATGATCGTCTGATCGAGGTCTGGAGGCTTTATCCTGCGAACTCAGGCTCCAGATGCCAGGGGGACTACCCACCATGGCTCCCAGGGGTTCCCTGCTCGAGGAGAGAAAGGGCTACATGTGCCTGGGCTTCCTGTGGAGGGAGGCTGACCTCCACAGGGTGAAGATCATAGCAGCATGATCAGGTGAGCATAAAGAAAAACTTTACCCTTTAAAATTCAGGGAGAAAAAATAAAATAACAACTGTCCTAGGGCTATGAGGACAGGAAAAAAAGACTGAGGTGTGATGGCTGATGGGGTTCCTATTATACAAGGGGAAGGTATGCTTAATTGTTTAATTGATTGTGTTTCCTGTCCTGAGGGTTAGAGGGAGGAGCTAAACCCATATGTTAAATGCTGCCATGATTAGCCAGGAAATAGTTATTTTGTCGAAGTGCGAATTGTCTGAATTTAAAGAGAATTTTGAATAGTAAAATAGTAGGCCAAAATAGCCGAATTGAATATGAAGCTGATTTGGAGGCTTTTTTTTTTCCCTAATCAACTTTGGACTAAAATTTGAAATTTCATTTGAATTCACACTTTCTTGAATAAATCTCACACTATTGAATTGAAAGTCATGGTAGCTGAAGAAAAATTAAAGGGTTACTATAGCTAATATTTTAAAGGACAACTCCATACTATTTTCTTAGTTAAAAAAAACAACAACAGATCACTGCTTAGTAAATTACTGCTCAGTAGATATACCCACAATGAATACATACATGCATTTTTAATGTATTTACTGGGTTTTAATGTATTTACTGGGTGTGTATATACAAAATAACTTGCAAATGCCTTCCCCTTTTGGTACTCTGTGGTGGAGACCCGCCAACTCCAGGTAATAGTAGTTAGTATAAAGTCCACAGGTTCAACAGGAAGGATGCATATTGAAGTTTTAATGAAGAAACGCAAAGAATACTTTATGTGCGTGTTCTAAATTAAAACTTCAATATGTATCCTTCCTGTTGAACCTGGGGACTTTATACTGAATACTATTACCTGGACTTGGTGGGCGTCCACCACAGATTACCAATAGGTACATCGGTTCCCATACATATCCCCAGGAGTGCCACCCCACTTTGTTTATTTAATACTAACAGTCTCTTCATTTGGAACAAATCTGTAATTTTTTTCTTTAAGAATCCTCTAAATCTGTGCGTGAGTGTGTCCGTGCACATGCACCAGCTCATGTCCGCAGGCATCTGATTTGAAGTCTGTTGATAAACGAAAGTTCCTGAAGACACTGGTCCGTGGTCTGTGTGGAAGAAGACAAGCTTACTCAAGTAGACACTTTCTTAAGCTCAGGGGAGTTAACAAATAAGTAAGCAAACCTCCCTTGCTGTCTGATAGACAGCCAAGGTGGTATTAAATAATGCAATTCTAAGCATTTATAATTTGGGGGTGACATAAGATACTCTTCATGCATAAAGCATTTTAGCAAGTTGAAATGCTAAAGCACGGAGTGTGGAGTGGTCCTTCAAAGGGACACTTTAGTCAGTCAGACCACTTCATCTAAATTCCGCCCAGCAACAGCCTCCAGTGACAGGTAGGGTGTGTGTGTATTGACTCAGCAGTATGTGTGTGTGTGTGTGTGTGGACTCAGCAGTCAGTCATGTCTCTAGGGGGTATGCCCCCCCTTACATCATGCTGTGCCCTCCCTTGTTCCCCTCAAATGCCTGCAACTTGCTGGCCATGTGCTTAAATTATATTCCCTCAGACTGTAACAGCCTGAGGAAATGCAGGAAAGAGGATCTGGAACAGTACTGGGTGTTGTCTGTCTGTCTGTGTATGTGTATGTATGGAATCAGCAGTCTGTGTGTGTGTATGGACTC